CGGGGCTGCGACAATAGCGGGATGACAATAATCCAACAGTGAAAAGACTGACGTCACTGGAAACTAAGGCATCAGGTTTGGCTTACCAGATTGGGGGGGTGTTTTTGTTTGGAGCAGAAAACATAGTGGTACACGGGAACCCCCACGAAGACCAAGAGCAGCAGGATAATCATTAAAGGCAGGATACCCCCCAGGGTCAGCACCAGCGCCCGTGTTTCCTGGGGGTCTGGGGACCAGGGCGTGGGGGATGACAAGGTCAGAAAAGTTCCTGCCAGAGGTTCGCTTGTTTACCTACTGAATACACAGGCTCACACAAACACACACCCACACACACATAGCTGCAGGGCTGGCCCACCCTTTAAGTGATATAGGTGATCGTTAGGGTGCCATTTGATTAGGGGCTGCAACAGAGTGAGTAAAAAAAAAAAAAACAGAATTACCTGTGACTGCATTCATGACGAGTTATTCACACTAGTTTTATATTTCACTACTTTTACTTGTGAAGCTAATGGTAGCTAGGGAGGTTGTGCTCTGACATACAGACTTCCTCATGTTCAGTGTAAACATTAGTCATCACTGATGCAGTGCATTGTGGTCTGTATACTTTGCCAAAGATCGCTTCCATGAGGGATTTACCAAAGCGTGGATAAAGTGCCCATTAATCATGCTGTTTATGGCTTATTTGAGGGCCCAGACATCCTTGGATATTTGCGCTAGGTGTGATAGTGTGTACTTGGTGGGGCAAATGGGACAAAGCCTCTATGTGGCACGCTGTTGGATGACTACGTGATGTAATTGGTTGATAACTTGTTGTATTTAAGGTAGTCTGGGCTAAATGTGAGTGAACAAACATAAAGTCTGTTTAAACTGGGGTACCCTTAACTAAATGGAAAGCTGGGGCCTGTATCACAAAGCGGGATTTCTTAGTCGCATAACTTGTCGGATTTCAGGTGCCATAGTTTAAATGGATTTTATCATTGTTCACTTACATCTAGCCCAGACTGTCTTAAATGTGACAAGTTAACTTGGCTAAACAAGAAATCCTGGCCCTGGTTATTTTCCTTTTCTGATTGACAGAGCTATAGAGCAATAAAGAGCTGAGACCCCCCCTTCCTAGTTCTGGGTAATAGGCGCCATGTTTGTAGTCCCCAAGTGGCTTCACTGAGGGCAAAAATGTCAGCATGGGCCAGTCGAGGGATAGGACTCCTCCAACAAAAACCCTTATGTCTCACAAACGGAATTTCATTGGAAGAATATTTATTCCAACAAATCTACAGAATCCAATGATGCCCAACTGGGTAGATCCTAAATAACCCCAAGTAATCACTCCAGCCCTGCGGAACTACATTGCTAAACAGGTTAGAATTTCAGCTCTAGGTATGTTTTTAAGGGTTTCAGAGCCCAAAACCAAACCAAAGCTAAATTAATATAATAAAAATATCAGTTTAGCATTATCACATTAAACTTTGGAGTTAGCGAATTAGCAGTTATCAAAGCTAACTTTTCAGTTAGCTGTGCCCACCATCAGAAAGCGTGCACCACAGACGGCATACTTACCTTTTCCCGTCGTCACACACTGCTTCGAAGACGCCTGGGCTTTTGTGGGACGTGATGCGAAATAGATGCTTGCAGAGACGCAGTACAGAGTGTTGAAGTCTCGCAAAAATAGCTCCTTTGAGGTGTCGTCAAGAAGGTGGATCTCCTGACAACAGAAAAAGATAATTAAATGACACCAAGAAATCTAAAGAATTTTGACTAAAGACACCCTTGCCATGAAAGGAAAATGAAAAAGAGTATATGACACATTTTTTGGACACATGACGTTTTTGAAGTGCTGTGCTAAAAAGCTGAAGCATGGTAATGACTCATGGCATTCTTCAGGCTGAAGACAGAAATCTGCACCATCTACATAGTGATTATGTGCTAGACAGAGCTGTTTTCCCTCAGCTACCATGCTCACCAACTCTACACATTTACACTTCAGCGCGACACATTTCCATACAGCAAACTAAAGAATAATTCTGGAGTTTTGATACTGAACCCCAAACGCTAAGAGAAACAGCAATATATATATGTGTATGTATGTATGTATATATTAGGGCTGTCAAAATTAACGGGTTAACGTGGATTAATCCATCATCATGATTAATCTGATTAAAATTTTTAACGCAATTAACCCATCTGCAGCGCAGAATGACTCAAAATCCCAGAAATGTCTCTGTCAACCCATTTCGGGCAGTTTTGGTGCATTCCATTTGCCCTGGGAACTCGGATTCCGAGTTTTGAAGCCGGAAGTGATAACATGCGCGCTCCCGTTTCTCAGAGATCTGAGAAATATCTCGGAGCAGCACAGAGGATCCCGAGTTCAGAATCCGAGACGGCTGCGCCTTTTATCAACAGCAGGGAAAGTTGTAGTTTTATACTGTTCAAGCACTATTTCTCATTTGTGGCTCA